TGAGTTTGCCCAAGTGTCAGGCATTGTGTTTAAGTAATGACAGTTGTTTCCGGTATTTATTAAAGTTATTTATGAAATGGTTCTGCTATTTTTTCTAAGTATTTTCAGTTCTTATTTTATTTCACGGTTTATCAAGGGTATTTTGGTAAAAGTAGTACCCGGCCGGGTTAGGGTGTTTCAACCTATGTTTGGCCCGGCTTTTAGAAGTGCTTTTCCGCTTCGAAAGCTGAAGCAGGGCCAAACACCTCTAAAAGCTCGGCTTTTGAAAAGCTAAAAAGCGAATTTGTTTAACATAAAAGTAGAAGCTCCAATTTTGAGCTTCTGCGAAAAGATGTTTTGAAAATACAAGATTATCCTTACCATTTTTTAATTTTATCTAAGAAAATATAATTTTATTTCATTTATATCATTTTAAAAATAAAAAATTATAAAATCATATTATTTAATATAAAAGAAGAGTAACGAGATCCATTTTGGCTACATTTTATTTTTTATAATTTTTATTCATAGTTTATATTATAGTCCTTTATAGTCATTTTACATAACCTCGCATATTAAAAAGCACTTTTAATAGTTTTTCAGCCAAACACTCAATTGCTTTTTTTGAAAATTACTTCTCTAAAAGCTTAAGCCAGAAGCTGCTTCTGCAAAAACTACAGCAAGGCCAAACTGAGCTATTGATCTTTAAATGGTTGGGATTTTCTAATATGATATTCATTTTTCTTATTCTAAATTTAATTCATTTACCTTTCCTTCGCTAAAAAAGAAAAGGACCATTCCAATGAATTCATCAACGGAAGATAGCTTTTCGGCTTTTCCGTCCCATGGCCAGTCATTATCCTTGTTTGTTTGTTTCGGTTCTGTTTTCCCTTTTTATTTTTGAATTAAGAATGGTATTCACCTAGAAAAATGACTTCCATCTATTTTTTTGAACGAAAAAGAATAGAAGACAACGACGATAGTAGAGATAAATTAGAAGTTTGTACTGCTAATTATTCTCATTACGCGGTACCACTAATTGTTCTTACTAAGCTGCCAATCTCCCATAATTTTCAAAGTACTTTTGGATTTATTATTTTTTTCCTTTTACTTATTTTAGGTTTGAAATTATTTATTATGTTTTGGTACCACCATTTGTTAAATATGTTTCTATGTTGTTAGTGTTTCAGCATTTTTTTCACATGAATTCCATGCATTGCTAATTCTTGTTATAATTTGCAGATTAAGATTCCGAACAAAGATTGGATGAGTATAACAAATAGGAGAGCGTCTGAATTCATCGAAGGCGTCAATAAATTTATTGAGTTTGCATTTTGTCATTCTGTCAATCAACAAGTCATCCGTTGTCCCTGCAAAAAGTGCGGAAACGTCGCATATAAGAATCGTTCAGAAGTGAAGTTTCATCTTTTAAAAAATGGAATCTTAAGCCATTACACAACCTGGTACTCTCATGGGGAAGTTGCAAGTAATAATATGAGGGCACCCACTAGTGGAGAAGTTAATGAAGATCCACCTCTGGTGATATACTTGACGATATGGATGAATTGATACATGACGTGTATGGCATGGCAAGCGACGAAGAAGATCTTGGGGTCGGAGAAAAAGAGCCTATAAAAGACGCTTCTACCTTCTATCGCTTTCTCAAAGAGGCTAATGAGAAAATGCACTCAAATTGCAAGCACACTAAACTAGCCACGATTGTGAAATTGCTCCATCTCAAAAGTCTTCACAAGTGGACTAATAAGTCATTCGACGACTTACTTAGAATTATGAGGGAACTGATTCCGAATGGAAAGGATATGTTGCCTGAATCTTTCAATAGTGCGAAAAGTACATTGCTTATTTGGGTCTTGGTTATGAGAAGTATGACGTTTGTGAGAACAGTTCCACGTTATATTGGGGTCCTCATAAAGATGCAACATCTTTTCCAGTATGCGAATTGCCTCGATATGCTTCTTTCGATAGGCACGGGAAGGGGAAACCACACAAAGTGTTACGATATTTTCCCTTGACACCAAGACTGCAGAGGTTATCTACGTCAAGTGAAACGGCTTCCCAAATGAGATAGCATAAAGAAGGACGAACTGTGATGGAATAATGAGATATCCAGCTGATACTCCTGCTTGGAAGTCATTTGATGAGAAATATCCATCTTTTGCAAGTGATCCTCGAAATATTAGACTTGATGTAGCAACAGATGGGTTCAACCTTTTGGCAACATGAGCTCCCAAGATAGTATTTGGCAGTGGTGCTTGTCCCATACAACATGCCCCCTGGTTGTGCATGAAACAACCATATTTTATCAGGTCAATGTTATACCAGGCCCTGGTAGTAGCCCCGGTATGGGCATTGACATATTTTTGCAACCCTTGATCAAGGAATTGAAGGAATTATGGGTGGATGGAGTGAACACATACATGCTTATGTTTTATGGACTATTAGTGACTTCCCTGCATATGTTGATTTGTCAGGATGGACCACTAAAGGTTATAAGGCTTGTCCGGGACACTTGTGCCCAACACTTAGATAATTCGAGTAATATGTGCTACATGGGTCATAGGCGGTGTTTGTCACCTAATCACAAATGGAGAAAGAATGCTACAAGATTTAATGGAGAAAGGGAAAAAAGAAAGGCACCAAATCCATTGTCAGGTGATGAAGTGTTATTGAAATGTCAGACTTTCAAGCAACAACCTTTCAAAAAGGATGTGAAGGTAAACTATGATGCTACTAATAGTTATGAAAACTTGAGGAAAAAGAGCATATTTTTTGAGCTACCCTATTGAAAGACCCTTCTTATCCGCCATAATCTTGATGTCATGCATATTGAGAAAAATGTCTGCGATAATGTGCTCGGTTCCATAATGGAAATAAAGGGGAAGACAAAATATTCATACAAAAGTAGGTTGGACTTGGAACAAATGGGGAAATGGAAAGAACTACATCCGAAGGTTGTTGAGGGTAGAACTCAAGTTCCAGTTGCACTTTACACCCTATCGAAGGCGGAGAAGGAATCATTGTGCAAAATGTTGACAAATATGAAGACTCCGGATAGATTTTTATAAAAAATTTCTTGATGTGTCAACATGAAGGAGAGAAAAATCTCAGGCATGAAGAGCCACGATTGTCATGTGTTCATGTAACAATTGCTACCCGTAGCAATTAGACGGCTTTTACCAAAGGAAGTATTTGATTGAATTAAGTGCTTTCTTTCGAGACTTGTGTTGCAAAAGTCTAAGTGATGATGATCTCGACCATCTTCAACGTCAAATTGTGATGACTTTATGCAAACTATAGATGATATTCCCTCCTTCATTCTTTGACATCATGGTTCTTTGTGCGTTCACTTGCCTATGAAGGCTAGGATTGCTGGGCCAGTGCAAACAAGATGGATGTACCCAGTGGAAAGATTTTTGCGAAACCTTAAGTCTTATGTTCGTAATAAAACTCATCCAGAGGCTTCCATATCAGAAGCATACATAATTGATGAGTGCTTGACTTTTTGTTCGAGGTATCTTGATGGTGTTGATACCAAGTTTAATAAGTCCCCAAGAAATAATGATGACAATGGAAGTTCTTGCAGAAATGGGGAAATCGATATATTCAATGAAGTTGGTCGTCCATTTGGGAAAGGTGCCCCCACAATATTCTATGGTGATAGGAGAAGGAATGCTCACTTATACGTCTTAAACAGCCGCAGAGAAGTATTTCCTTTCATCCAGTAAGTGCTTTGAAATTGAAAGTTGTTTTCTTGTATGGTATGAGTGTCCTTATATGCTTAATAACCCAATCTAATTTTACAGGGGATTAAAAAACGGTTTGCCTCAAATGCGAGACTCTGATATGATAAAGAGCCACTACAAAAAAGACTGGCAGAAGTGACCAAAACCTTCTGACGACACTGTTTTTTCATTGGAAATAACTGTTTTTGTGACAAAACTTTCTTTGTATCATAAAAAATTATATTATTTCCAATCAATAGCTAAATTCATCAGAAAAGTTAAAATACTTCCTCAGTAAAGGTGATTTTCACATCTATGAGGAAGGTTGTGCCATTTTTATTGACGATATTTTTATTTTCGTCAATAATTTATAACATTACTAACTGTCCTAAGCAAACCGTCAGAAATAAACATCGTTTGTGACGTCCAAAAAAAATGGCATATGTGTCATAACGTTTTTGCAACGCAAAAACACATACTCGGTAAAGAAATATTTGGTATAGTTTTCTTTGTGAGGATTTTTGTAACTTCTCACAAAAATTATTTTTTTTTTCGATGGTGATAATACGGTTGTCAATAAAAGATGGTTGGAACAAACGCACACTACATGTAGCTGCCCGACCCATCTTAATGACCACATATTTTCCATCGTTAATGAATAGTTGGTTTGAAAAACATGCGAGAAAAAACAATATTAGTGAGCAAACTTGTATTCGTCAATAATATTAAAAATAATCGTCAAAAGTCAAACATTACTGACGAATTATGATGTCGTGGGAAACAAATTTTTGAAATGTACCCTTTTTACCCTTTGGTTGCTTTTTACGAATGTGAAAATGGATTTGATGGAAATGATTGGTCAGAAATATTGTTTTCCGAAAAGGTGTCTTAGTGGATTTCATAATGGAAAAGAACTTTATTTGCGAGGATTTTAGTAACTTCTCATAAAAATCACTATTTTTTCGACGGTGATAATACGGTTGTCAATAAAAGATGGTTGGAACAAACGCACACTACATGTAGCTACCCGACCCATATTAATGACCACATATTTCCCATCGATAATGAATAGTTGGTTTGAAAAACTTGCAAGAAAAAACAATATTAGTGAGCAAACTTGTATTCGTCATTAATATTGAAAAAAATTCGTCAAAAGTCAAACATTACTGACGAATTATGATGTCGTGGGAAACAACTTAGTGGATTTCATAATGGAAAACAACTTTAAAAAATAAGTCAATTGAGAATGAGGCCTTATGAACGTTATTTTGTATTTTCAGGATCGTCACACCACAGGCTGCCCATGAACTCACTGCTATCTTCAAAAGGGGCATCACTGGTCCATGGATTAAGTTCTCGGAGTACCCTGCTTCTGCTTTGCAGACCGTGATTGCTCATTTCAAGGAATCTGGGTTCACATGCTCTCTTCCAGAAGAAGAACTCAATGTTCATCTCAAGGAACACATCAAGAGGAACTTCTCCCAGTGGATGTATGGGTTCCGCAACCGAGTCTTCAATCAATATCCTACCCTTGCTGAAAGGATTAACAATCCACCTACTGAAATCCCTGCTCATATTTGGAGGGAAATGGTTAACAAGTGGAGTGATCCAAACTGGAAGGTAATTTACTGTTGTCTAAAATTGCTTCTTATGATTATTTGTGTTTGTATCTAATTTGCATATGTATGTTTACACGGCAGAGCACCAGTGATAAGAACAAAGCCAATCGTGAGAAGTCTGAGCTCACTGCTACTGGCGGATCTGTTCCCATGGCGAAGTTTAGGCTTGATCAGGTACCCCAATGTGTTCTCTTGTATTTAATAAGAACGAAGCAAAGGTCCAGAAGTGTGAGCTCATTGCTGTTGCGTTATTCTTGTGTTTGCAGATCAAGAAGACGGGAAAAGAACCAGATCCTATAGAGACATTCAAGAAGTTCCATGTGAAGAAGGGCAATGGTGAATTCACCACCCCAAAAGCTCAGACCATACATGTAAGTGCATTGCATGTTAAGTAATTTTAGCTTTCTTCTTCTTTTTTTAAATCATTTAAACTCAGCGTATTAGTTATTAATTACTATATGTGTAGGCTGAATTGAAGAATAAGGAAGCTGAGAAGTTGAGTCAAGGGGAAGAGGTGAACCAGTTTGCGATTTATGGTGAGGTTGTAGGAAAACAGCCTAGGAAACGTGTGTTGGGAATGGGTTATGGGGTAACCGGTGTGGATGTTTTTGGCCCTAGCTCCGGTCAGGGCTGCAGCAAAAGGTGTGAAGAAGACCGAAGGCAAGAGAAGGTGAAGAATGATGAGATGATCAGAATGCTGAAAGAAGAGCTAGTGCAGGTGAAGAATGGAATTCCTCAGATTGTCGAGGATACATTGAAGAGGCTATGAGTTAATTTGGCAGAGTCCTCAATGGTAAGTAGTTGCTGTTTTTTTAGTTGGTTGAGCATGATTAATCGTATGAACCTTATCATAATCTATTTAACTTTGTAAATTAGGCTGGAGACAAGGAGGTGAATGATGAAGATGAAGATGAAGATGGAGACGAGGAAGTGAATGATGAAGATGCGGATGGTTTTGACCATGAGAACAGCTCCCCCTGATGATGATGACTACTAAGTTTGCAGCGCTTGGAAGAAAGCAGCAGTAGGAACTTTGAAAGTTCCAATTTTCAATCGGAAGTTTGCAGCTAGCAGCTAGGAAGAAGGCAGTCTTAGGAACTTTGCAAGTTCCATTTTTCAATCGGATTATGTTTATGTTTATGTTTTGTTTTGTTAAGTGGTTGGTTGTTTTTGTTTTATGTTTGAACAAGTGTTTGGTTGTTTTGTTTTATGTTTGAACAAGTGTTGAATGTGGTCTCCTTTTAAGACAGTTTTGGTGGTTAGGCCACCTAATTTTATGGAGAATTTTCAATTTTTGCTAATATATTGAAGTGGTTAATGTCTTTTATGCTTTTAATAAATTACCTGCAAAATAAAATTTATTATTATTATTTCTCAGTTATCATCACTAATAATATATAGTAAATATATTTACAAAATCGGGAAAAAAATTGTAGTTCTAACGATGTAATTTGGTTACAGTAACACTAAATTTGGTTACAATTGGCGAGTTGCTTCCCACAAATATTTTGTTTGCAAGTATTCTATTTGTAATGTAACAAAATGGTTAGCTTTAGTAAGTCATTTCTGATGAATAATTTGGGTTACATATATTTTTTTTAACGCAACAATTTGGTTAGCTTTAATTGTTTCTTTCGACGAATATTTAATGTTAAAAATATTCTTTTTTAACACAACAATTTGGTTAGATTTAATATGTTTATGCCGACGTATATTTTGTGTGACAAATATCTTATTTTTAACGCAATAATCTTGTTACATGAACACAAAAGTTGGTCTTAATTAATTAGTTTCTTCCTACGAAACTTTTGCCTCACAAATATTCGATATTTTCTTCTGACCTTATTTTCTCGTTGGAAATTAAATTTACGATTATTATGAATAGTTTTTAGTGACGCAAGATATTCATTATAAACACCACATGGGTAATTTAGGAACATAATTAACCCTCGCAAAAAATGTTCTTTTAGTGACCTTATTTTCTCGTTGGAAACTAAATTTATGATTATTATGAATAGTTTTTAGTGACGCAAGATATTCATTATAACACCACAGGGGTAATTTAGGAACATAATTAACCCTCGCAAAAAATGTTCTTTTACGACAAACAACTGTGGTCAAAACAATCAAAGGGCATTTTCGGAAAAAAATGTCAATTTTTTAGTAACGAATTTTTTATTTACTAACAAACATAGTTTTCTCAATTATAGTTTATCTAACAAAATGTACTCCTCACAAAAATTATTTTATCCCTTAAAAATATATTTGGTCAAGCAATTTCGTTAAGTACATTTCTTTACTGATCATGATATTTTGCATAATGATTAAAAATAATTGTCACAAATATATGATTTTCTGACGCAAATACATTTAAACTATTAGCGAGGGACCTTTACCCCACGACCCACCAACGACCGTATTTCATCAAAATAACCCTATTGTGACGAGAAAAGGCCTTTTGTGACACCAATTGTCTGGTAACATCTGCCAGTCGTTTTTGTAGTGAGCTATAATTATGACTTCCCCAAATGGTTCCAACGACGTGTACGATTAATATCAAAATTTTATTCGATGAAATTTTAAAAATATAATCTAATTTAAATTTGATTCATTTAACTTGCAGGTGAAGTGTAGCACCGCGATAATTTAGATTTAGGTTCGACCTTAATATGTGGTCGGTTGGATTGACGGTTACGTACAAAGAGTTACAACCGCGGAGTAAGAATAATAATAATAAATATTATTATTATATTATCATATTATATATAAAAAATAACACTCGTGAATATCAAAAGGGGGGAAAAGTTAATCTGCTAACTTGAAAATTCGTTAGCAGATACTAACTGATATCCAAAATACATGAACTAGTATCCAAGTACTAAAGTATCTAGAGAGCACAGACTAGTATTCAAAGTTTGCTAACTGATATCCACCATGAATCAACTATTATCCCAAATTCACAAACTAATATCTAGACAACACAGAATAGTATCAATACAACACATAATTAGTATCCAGATAACTCATAATAATATCCAGATAACACATAATAGTATCCATATTGAATACTAGTTGGTTGATTGTGGATATTAGTTGGTATCTGTTATCTGGATACTAGTTTGTGATGTTTATAATACTAGTCTGTGCTATCTAGATACTCAGCAAACTTGGATATTAGTTCATACATTTTGGATATTAGTTAGTATATACTAACGAATTTTCAAGTTAGCAGAATAACTAGGCTGTCAAAAGGGAGGAGCACCTCCCCAGCCAAACCTAATAATTCCCCCCATCATATTCCCTTCCACGCAGAGAGCCGCAGCAACAGCCGCGGAGAAAGAAAAAAAAAAAAGAAGCACCGCCGGCTCCCCATCCCGACCCCGATTCCTATCCCGATCTCAATCTAAATCCCATCCCTTTCGTGTTTCTAGGTAAGGATCAAGAACCCCTTCGCGATTTCTAAACATGATTTATCGATAGTCTAATCCGAAACTTGTATTTATTAGCAGTGACGTTTGAGGGTTCGATCAACGAGCAGATCAACGTCCCAGGTCATCCAACCTACGCCTAGGCACGTTCTAGAGGTAAGAGAACTCGATCCCTTTGAGTTAGGTCGATTGATTTGGTGATTTTTCGTGAGGGTAGAATTCTGGGGTTTAAGCAACAGGCTTTACAGGCTTTTAGTGTCAGATTTTGATTGGTCACTAAAGTTGCTGGGAATTTCCAGAAATGTATTTTAAATTTTTTAAATTGTTTCGAGCCTCTCTAAAGGTTCTTTTCTGAATTTGACAATTTAATAAATTGAGCGAAGTCTAGGAGATGATTGTAATTTAAATAAAAAAATTTTCGAGAAACATCACATAAGGGATGGCTTGTTGTCTCTGAAGATAGTTCTTTGGGAACGACTCATCGTCTCGAAAATAGTGCATTAGGGACAACTAAGTGACTTCTAAGATAGTACTTGGCAAGGCTTAATGTCTCTGAAATACTTCATAGGATATAACTTGTTGTCTGCAAAAATACTTCATAGGGGACTATTATTGTGTCCTAACATAATATATAGGAGACGACTAATTGACTCCCAAACACTGCATAGGGGAGGACATTGATAGACCATTGATTACACATGTTTTTACCCCTATTCTTGAGCCGTTTGAGATGTCGATTCCCGTGTTTTAGGCCGATTTCACGCTAGGTTGTTCTTGTTTGTGATATTTCAGGGCCTAGTACGTGAATCAAGGTTTAGGAACGAGTTCGGGGTCGATTGGACGAAGTTTGGACGTTTGGCGAGAAGCTGAGAAGCCACACGGGCATGCCCAAAAGCCACACGGCCGTGTAGGAGACCCACTGTGGCCGTGTGAAGGCTCGGCAAAAGCCACACGGGCAGCCTGGACACTCACACGGCCGTGTGGCTCGTGGCCGGCTAGGAAGCCTGAAGTCACTTAACGAAACGCCGCGTTCATCACCATTGGAGCCCGGCTTGAGCTTGGAGAAGTGTCGATCGACAACCAGAGCAGAAATCCATCCTTCACAGTATGGTTTCCGCATCTGAATCTGCTTTTGCTTCTTTCTCCATGGAGTAGTTCTCCCATTCATCTGGGTATGGAGAACCCTAGATTTGTATGTTAGGTCTGATTGTATGAACCCAAGTAGATTTTATGATTTGATTATGTTTAATTGAGGCTTGAATGATTGAATGACTTGAATCCTGATCAAATTCCTATTATTTCTGCTTTAACCTAGAAAGAGAATATCTGCCTAGGTTAATAGAGCACCCTTAATTGAAGGTGGTGAATTGGCGACTTTAGTCGAGGAGTCAATTCACTATTCTGTACCGAATTTACTTCGGTAGTGGAGGTTTGGTTCGTTAGGGCCTCAATCTGTTTACTCCGGTGGAGGTTAGTCCCCCGCTTGGGACTCAGATTGAGAGGGTCTGGAGACCTTTAGTCTGAGACTTCAGACTGTTTACGAACCTTCCGCAGTATAACTTTCATAGAAACTGAACTTGGTAATTGCAATCCGGCTTAACTGCAGTCTAGGGGGAACCATATTCGGGTGACCTCTCTCGACTTGAAACAACCGTTTAACTTGCTTTGTGTTTTTGCTTGTTTGAACCTGCACTTAAGTTTCACCGCTAGATAATAAGAATTCACTGAGTAGTCATCATATCTAGGACCCGGGTTGACATTAAAACCCAAACCCGCTATACTACGCTTTAGGAAGTGGTTTCACTTGGCCATTTTCTAGAGTGACAGTAGGAGTGAGTCAGACATATTGTCCTAAATTCTTAGAAATCGTTAGAAAAATTTATTAGAATTTTTTCACTTTTGGAGACGATAATGTGTCTCTGACATTGAGGACTACTTTCATTTTTTGGTCTCCAAAAGAATATTGGACGGAACCTATAGGCACCACTCACGAGGACTCCACAAGATTTGGAGACAAAAAACCCATGTTATGAAGACGAAATCTTTCATCCTCGAAACCTGCCAATTTTGTCATGCATGTAAATCATGTGTCGTGTGCGTTCCTGTTTTTGTTTTTATTGCTTTGTTGAATCCTCCAATTTCCCAATCCGTAGAAAACAGTCGTGCCACCAAGTGTTGTGAACATACCATAGTATATAATGATTAAATACATGATATTAGGAATATATAGAACTGTCGTTTACCACATTCATCATTGTTTACCACTAGTTACCACCCATATACTAGGGTGATATGGAGTGGTACATTTTGGTCTTGTATTTTTTCATAAATTTGTAGATTGAACAAATCACGATGAACTCGTTCCATTAGTGTAAATTTTTCCCAAATTTGAGTTAAAAATGAAGGTGGTAATGAGTGGTATGAAATTTTTTTGGTCAAAATATATTGAAAATGGATATTATTTTGAAGATCATAAGGAACTTATTTCATCCGTGCAAAAAAATTTAAAATATAAATTAAAACAAAAAATAGAAAAAAATCATTAATTCTCACTTGTTAGATTTGATCCAATCCGCCCCATTCAAAACTAAGGATCGAGGAATCTGCTATGCAAAAGTGCATAACCTGAGAAGAAAGGGGTTAAAAAGGAAACTTTCTTTTATTACTCGTGTATTGGTTTCTTTCTTCCACTGACGCCCAGACTACAGGCAGCACAAGGCTTCATATAGTGTTTCCAAGTACTACAATCTGCAATCTATTTACTGAAGCAGTTGCAAGCAATTTAATTTTGGTGATGTATCTTTTTTCATCATAACCAGCATCTTTAATGTAGTTTCTACTTTATACCTA